CACCAAGAATCCTTGATTCATGCTCTACGATTTTAAACTAAATATTGTCTACTCTGCATATAAATTAAAAGCTGCGAATAAAATTTGGTTCGAAAAAGGTTATTCACAAGTTTGACAACTAAGACTTTTCAAGTTACACTACATAATAACACTTAAAACTCAATTTCAAAAATAAAATTTAAAGTAAAAAAAATTAGGATTATCAGAAAAGGAAAAAAAGACACAATGCTTCTTTGATCGCTGGATCTATTACATTAACTATCAATTTAAAATTACTTTATCAAATCTGTATTTGTCAACTTAGATGCTTTTAGAACTAAATGAAAATCTTGCTTTGAACTGTGATTAATATATAATTTTTTACATTGAAAATTTCAGATTTTTTTATAGTTTACTTATCATTTACATTATTCACTGGCTTCTTAAAATATTTTGCTTTTTTCCCACATTAACTAAATGAGAAAGCACCGTAAGGTTTAGGACTAATTAACGGTCACGGTTTCGGTTAGACTATTATAAGCAATTCGATACTGTTTCACAAAATATTATTATGGCTGTAGTTATCAAAAACCACGAAAGTTCAATAGAGTGTGATTATTTTATACGACATGTCTAGTCATGCAATTTAACACCCCAGAGAACTGATAACTGTAATTGAACGGAATTGAATACAAGCTGTAAACAAGTCTGAGACAAGTCTAGAAACGCAAAGAGACACTTTAAATAGTCCAGTTACAGCAACTATTAAAAACGATTATAAACAAAGCGAAATATCGACCTTTTTTTTTTTTTTTTTTTTTTTTTTTTTTTTTTTAAATCTTTAATGCAAAAATGCAAGTGGGCGGAATGGAAAGGATCACTGCGCGCACTTGAAGAACGCGGAAGTCTCGAGAATGGGGTCTCATTTATCTGCACTCGAATGTCTTCCACAAGACAAGCGATCACGTTTCAAAGCGAGACACACATCCATTACTTCTGCTTTAGAGATAGCTGTGACTGACAGAATCTCAATATTGATGGATGGAATCTGGCAACCGTTATTTTTCTGCGTAAATGGTGGTATTATTCTTTTTACTCTCTTTTTTTGCTTATCTGTTGGGATAAAATTTATTGCGCAGCATTCCGGAAGCTACAGGGACGCGTCCTTGGATGGAATTATTCTATTCTATTCGTAATTCTGAGCTGCAAGTGTTTTAGATGGGGGATGTTTTTTCATCTTTGTAACCGTCACTGAAAACAACGGACGATTTCATTCTCTTGGAGGGGAGAACAAAAGCCGCTTTCAATGGTGTATATTGCAAGTGCACGTGTATGACAGCCATGATTTGTTATGTTTTGAGGGGCCTCCTTACAGCACACAAAAATTTATTACGATATCAATCATCAACATACATGTTTTAAAAAAATTACTTTTCTTCCACACATTGTGCTTTAATTCAACAGGCCAATACACGAAATTAAAAATTACTGATTTTAATAGATGTAAACAGTTACGACAATGCATTTTAAAATATTGAAATTAAAACCGAAATTTTGTATTCGAGAAGATCGGGGGGGGGGAAGAAAAAAAGGGGGGGGGGAAGAAACCATAAGAAAAAATTCAGTTAATACTTCAAAAGTAAACTGCTATCTGAATTACTTCATCATTATCCCATTTTTTTGCGGGAGGGGGGCGGGGGCAGGAAAGAAATTCTATGTTTTTATATCAAATTACCTGGAATTAATTCTTAAAAGTTTTGACAAAAATGTATGCACTACAATTTGCACATATTTTTCTGAAAAACACGACTTGGATCACAACGATCACATTTTAACACAAATTATGTTTACGTTTCAAAATATACCCTGCATATTTTGGTACTTTTGGTACTTATATACATTGGTTAACAGCATTAAGCAAAATCTCAACATTCAAATTCTATTATTATGGATAAATATTCGTATCTTTTAATAAACTTTGAAATATCCTACATTTTTTTTTTTTAAATTAAGTTAAAAATGCTTTTTTTTTTTTATCTGAGCGTCATCCAAACATTAATTTTCAACCACAAGTTATAAATGCAAAGAAAAGTACAATACAAATCCGATATGATAACAGTGCCGTAAAAGAAGAAGTAATTTTTCTAAATTTTATTTTGCAATTTACAAATTACTTCCAAGTTTAAAAAAAAAATGAACATCCATTTAAAAGTTTGTTTAACAATTAATTCTTTGGGACAGTTTTCTGGTGAAACAATGTCGCATGAACATAAAATAAGATAAATAATCACAACTGTTAAGTACGAATTACAATTAAAACTTGATACCTTCACATAATATTTAATGGGGGAATCCTAAAGCAACATTCAGTATTAAAATATAATATTACGAACAAATACTGCCTTTTGCAAAACCTCTTGAGTTTTTTATCATTTTATCTAATCAGTTCGAGTTTTTAATTGTTCTTTTCTATAGATACTTTCCTTTGCATGGCATTTGCTCGCTTCAGAAATATGCAAAATATTGTAAAATTCAAATATTAAGAAAAGCAGTAAAATAGAACGTTAAAATTCCTTATCCTGTTGAGTTACTAACCTCGAACAATTGTTCGCGATCAGTTGCGCTTCGCTTACCCCTGGAAATACGTACGCAGGTGGCATATACTTTAAATAGAGAGACAGAACTATAATTATATAGCATAAAATAGGGTTAAAATAAAACATAGGCATATATACAAGATAAATTTAGAATTCATGCATTACATATGCAAAAATAAACACGAAATATTACACAAACATTAAAGCAAAATTATGTTAGAACAAGGTCTCAAAGTCATTTTCAGCTTCTGGTCTTTTATCATTTATAAGCTTTTAAAACTGATACTGGAACGTTTTAGTCCTAAAACTTTAGCAAGATGCATAGCGAGTTATCACTTTGGTTAAAATAGTATGACAATCACGCTGCCCAGTCGGTATAGTGGTTAGGGAAGCCTGACTGCGATACCGAAGGGCCTGGGTTCTAATCCCGGAGAAGGCATGGTTGTAACTGTCCGTCCCTTCATAGGAGATGGTGGCCCACCTATTAGGTGCCTCCATAATAAAGAGATCACCACATTTGGCGTTGTATAGATTAATGTACTGTGTTACACTGCAACTGTTCACAATCTGCCATTGGAAAAAAAAAAAGTATGAAAATCACTTGAAAACATTTTAAACCTCTTTCTTAAGCCCACAGTCTCTAAACGCGACCATATTCCTGGATAGTATGATCATACTAGGGCCATCACCGGTAATTATGTTCTTTGTGATGACTACCTCCATAAAAATTAAAAGCATCTGGTGAAATGGTTGTCTTAACTTTTTCACTAACCCAAATTTGGAAACCGTGTAAAAAGACAAGCAATTTACATTTACAAATTTTTTGGGGGTTTTTAATATATTTAAATGACATCCCTAAAAAGATATGTAATATAATTTGCGGGAATTCACAACTTTTCTTGCGAATAAAGTAAAAGTGCTTTTGAAAGTGAACATGCTCAGCACTGCAGAATTTAAAACCTCACGAGTACATAACTTCTCAGAACATCATTGGCGCAGATAGAGTAACAACTAATGGAAATAAATCGCATTATTTTCGTACCCGCTGCAATTAGTTTTTAACAAGCTTTCAAACAAAAACTGCATATTTCTGATACTAAATTCCAAAATTTCTTATACGCCATCAACTCTCTACAACCAATATTTAATTCCCCACTCAGCAACAGTAAAGAAATAGCATCAAATCAGCTATGATTTTGCAAATGGTTCCAAGGAATTCAAAGGGTAACCAATCAATTCATGTTTGTCGTGACCCTTCGAAGTAGGCAAAACCAAATATGGATCGACGAAAAAAATTATCTTAGGAACAGAGGCGATACACTTCCGCGTGTGAAGTGCGGGTAAACAAACAAGTCATTATATCAACGATAAGAGAGAAGTTTAAATGGGTTACACACAAAGTGCGAATCTAAATAGGTTAGGCAAATGTCATTTATATATTAATGTAGAAGTAAGAATACCACTGGCAAGATAACGCCATCAATATTCCACACCCAGTTTTTTACCTCATTACATAAACAACACCTACATTGTAAAATTTGGAAACCGTGTAACAGTAATTTTTAAGAGGAAAGAACACAGAAAAGATTGTGATTAACTATCGCAGCCTATTATTAATTACTCTAACGATAAATTATTGTATTTCGTAAAATGTTTTCCAATTTAATTATACCAAAGTAGCAAAGAACGCAGTATTTGTCACTAATTAACAGAAAATTGTAAAACATATTGCTTATTGTATATATATTTATTTTCCTTGAAAAATATTAGTACTCCAGAAACATTTTTTTAAAATTTTAATTCCGAAATAGTTGTTTGAATGCAACGATGGCCGCAATCAATCGTATTTATCGCAGTACAGCGATGACAAACTTTCAGGAGAGATAGTGGTCTTAACTGTTTCATGGCGCGGTTATGACGACACTAAAGTCAAGAAAGGACACGAATGGGGTGAGAAAACATATTATTCGGAATAAAACTAAAACAAAGGAAAAAAACATAAAGAGACAACGATCATCATCAAAGTTGTTCGAAATTATGACCCGGACCGTGATACAGAAATCATACGGCATGCATCTTCCATGCGATCTTCCATTCGCGATGCAGATGCGCCAGAGAAGTGAGGTCTGCATAGCGGTCCGAGGTCGTAATTTCGAACACCTTCTTTAATGTTCGAACTCTTCTTAACCGTTGTTAGTTTTTGTTCTTATCGAATCCGGTCCCGATAACAGAAGAGTACCGATGTTTCTATGCGGCATTTAGATGCAATAAGCTCATCAGACTATGCTGCAAAAGTATTTCACTTCTTGGAATATTTTTAAATTAAGTAAGGAGCAAATAATTTACGCATCATAAATTAATTAGTAATCAAATTAATTTAAAGCATTGCGTTTTGTAGTATTAACACCTGAATGTTTTGCATACCTGTAATATGAGTCTGTTCCTTTCTTCTAACAACAGTATTGTTGTTAGCAGCATCTTCGGGATCTGCTGTCTCTTCTGGTGATCCGCCATTTTTATCCGCATCTGACGGATCTTTTGCAGAAACAGGAATCCACTGGTAACGTCCAGGAGGCAGGGGTTTACCCGCCTGAAAATCGAAATTCCAGCGCTCCCGACCTTCTCGAATATGCCTGTTGTATTCCTCTTCGACACATGCTCGAACTTGGTCGGGATCTATAGGGCCGAAAAGACATCTCCTGGCTCTGCTGGTAAGTTCGAAAGACACAGGCCCCATACTAGGCCGCGTTAAAGGCCACGTCAATGCTGCTACGTCCCCCATACGTCAACACGGCATCGATTTCTTAAGAGCGCATAAAACTGGAGCCGAAGCGACAACACGACTACTCGCTGCCTCAGCTACCATTTAAACTGTGCTCGTGCACACTCGTAGCCGGTTGTAAACAAGGCGAACGGGGACGCTCGATCTGTTTTCATTCTTTGGTTCTTTTTTCTTTTCCATTCCCGGCCGGCGATGTTGTTACACTGGCATTTTAATCTTTTTTATTTTTTTGATTGCCAAGATTTTTATCTTTATTTATTTAGTTCTTGGGTTACGCCATGCAGGTAGCTACGTCATGTCCGCTTCAGAAGGGTTGCTTTTCGCCACTTTGGCGAGATTTGCTATCGCCTGTTTTCGAAGCTGTGGGATTTTCACGACCGTTTGCAGAGTTAGTTTTAAGAAACGTAGTATATTTTAAAATAACCAAGGCGCAAATAGTAGACTGCATTTAAGGATAATTAAGTAAATTGAAAATACATTCGTTAAAATTTTAATTCATACATTTAGTTTTCAAAATACCTATTAACGTTTCTACTACGCTTCTAAAATCAATTCCATTTTTAAAAACAATATAAGATTCCTCCCTCCCCAATAGTGGGCACTTGCCTATCTCGGCATCGGCCACTCCTAAGGCCAGATGTGGTGGTCTCTTTATTATGGAGGCACCTAATAGGTGGGCCACCTTTGCCTCCTACGAAAGGACAGACGATTACATCCATGCCTTCTCCGAGACTCGAACGCGGGCCCTTCGGTATCGCAGTCAGGCTCCCCTAACCACTAATACAGTCTGTGCGGCTTTAAAAAAAGTGGCAATATAACAAGATAGAAGAAAATATTATTTTCATAACTTTGAAGTGGCTTAGTGAAAATTCTAAAGCCTGCATTAAATCTCATAGCTTAAACTGCGTTGCTAAGCATTTTATCAAACGGCTTGTAATGAGCGGCTGTAAATCAAATAGGTTAATTACTACCTAATAATTAAATAAAACATAATATAGCTTAAGCAATAATCAGTTTTTTTTAAAATCCATTTCAATTGCAAGCATCTGGCATTGTTATGCCTCCGCCTATCAAATAAAAATTTTGAGTTCAGAAATTATCGCTTGAAATCTTCAGACAAACCTAAACTAGCAGCGAAAGCACGTAGAAGATTAAACACTCAATGATTCACTTCAGTACAAGTTAAATCATACAATTCTCAATGACAGTAGACTGCTGAATACTGGTAGTTCATCCCGGGTTCGATCCCAGGCGAACGAGTGTGTTGCATGGTTGGTTTTCGTGATGTCCCCCTCGTATAACGTGAATACAAGCCAGTTTCCCTTAAAAAGTCTTCTCTGAAGGCAGTCCTCCTTTTAGGCAAATAACCCTCTAGTGCGTTGTCATATTTAAAATAACCAAACTAGTGACAGCATTATTCATATATTTACGTATTTTTCCTTCGCTTCAGGTAATTTACAGTATCTGCTGAAGTGAACTTAGATGTATACGTGAAAGGAGAGTGTAAAAATTAAAAACAATTATTTTTAAACTTATAATAAACGTTACAACATATACAGAGCATTTCACAAAGACTGCAACAATAAATACTTCTTTAACTGTTGTTCATAGAATCATGATTTCAGTTTAGGAAATGAATCAAATAAGACAGGTTTTTCACATTAAGATAATTTCGGTCACATGAAATTTCTTAGAAATACAAAAAACTTAAATTTTTGTATGGCTTCTATCAGAAAATAATGATTAGAAAAATATTTGAGCGGAGAAAATAGAGGAAGAAAAATTCATTTTCGAGCAATTAATATTGCGCCGGATATCATTAATTAAACACTACGATAATTTTCGACACATATTTCTTAAACATACAGTAAAGTTAAATTTTTACATAGCGCCCCTTCCTGCCTTCGTTCTCAGAAAGAACTCTTTTCAAGAAACCAAAAGCTCAGTAAGCCATAGGGGAAATGTAAACGGACTTGGCACGAATAACGTTGAAAAGATATATATGCAATACCTGTATCAGTCTTCCCTTTTTCAAGGAATTCAGTGGTACTTTTCGAAGTAAACTCATGCTTTATCAAGGATCACAATGTAATTTCCGTTTATCTCCTGTTAAATAGTTTTCATACAGAGTTCTACAAATTTTTCTGCGTTGAGCCACATGTCTCGGCAAAAGCTGGTGAGCATTATTTGTTTTTAAGCTCTAAATTTTGATTTATTATTTTCTTTATTGTTGCTACAAATATATTTAATGACTTTGCAACTGACTTCCGAGAATTTTCTCTTATTACAAACGACTGAACTTTAGATATATTAAAAAGGAAATACGTACCTTTTTCGGGTATTTGCCTTAAATCTTTTCCACGTAGAACTAATGACTGACGGTTTTTCCACTTCGGATTAATAACGTCGCTTATTTTTCACTCAGAAATTTTAATGTCACGCATTTCGTAAAGTTTTTGAAATATGGAATAGTAATATTTCTCTTCGGAAAGCACAAAAAACATATCCTTCAATATACAGCTTATTTACATGTTGCATTTTGAAAAAAGAATGAATTTAAAAGTATCAGACGATATTCCTCATTTTAAATAATAAGCTGCTGTTGCCAGGAATTTTCATTCCAAATCATTTGCTTTTTTTTAAAAAAAAATTCTTTATCAAACCGTTCTAAAAGTGCACAAAACGTCCTCTGTATTTATCAGAAAAATTTTAACAGATTAATAAATGGTCGAAATGAAAAAACAGATGAATAAATGGTATTGAAAGACAAAATGGAGATGAAAAGTTCCACATTTATACAATTTTAATTAAGCCAGGTTTCATTAATTGAACTTTTTGAAGAGCATGGAAAAAATCGCTTAAAATCGTTTGCTATGGAAGTAAAATTTTTCGAATATAAATTACGATAGGTTGATTTCCTAGATAAAACTTCCATCTTCTCAAGCACTAGGCTATCATTTGTATAGGAAGCCATTTTGATTATAGGAAAATATTTGGATATTTTCAAATATGCACTACTATAAATTTTATTATTACGCATTTATATCCTAACTAAATCTATTACTATAGTTTATTTTTATAAAATGCTGCAGATGAAATTATTTGATATTTAATGAGCCATTCAAACTGTATAAAAATGAAAAGTTTCTTTATTAACAAAAAATTTTTTTATTTTATAAGAATAAGCCGAAAATGACGATGATTTTTCAGCTTAAAATTAATATAAATTAAATAAAGGTTAGGCTTAGCTGAATGCCTTTTTGTGGAAAAAATATATCACTTTGCGAAAAACTTATTAAATTCTTTTTATCTCCCACCAACTCATATACGTAGGTACGGTTTTTCATGAAAACCTATATTAAAATATATTCCAAAATTTTTCAATTTTTGTATTGAAGATTTTATATCAATGGGAACAGCATATTAGATTTTCGTTAAAATTGACAAATCTGAAGTGATATTTTACTTGAAGATCTGAACAGATTCTCATAAAAATATATTATGATATTACCCAAAATTTCTCAGTTTTGGTACCTGAAATGTGATTGAGAACAGGGTAAGCATTAAATGTATTCTTAGAATTATGCTAAATGCAACGAGAATAAGTTCATTATGAAGACGAGGTCTCGTTATGAAACAATTAAATGTATTAGCCTCAATTTTGTGTTCGTTTTACTTTTGTATCGAATACCATTTCGAATAAAAGGATGCTGCCACCAAATATCAACTCAAAACATTATTTTTAAAGAAATAATATAGCGCGCATAAAAATATATATGGTAACAATCAACATTCTTTTTGAAATTCTAAAGATACGCTGATTTTAAAGATTTTTGTGATTTTGTTCTTGAATTTTATGTAGCGTAAGTCGGAGAAAAGTGATGCTTAATAAATAAAGCTAAAATGACAAAGTGAAAAGTTGGTTGTCTTATTAAGAAAACTGAGCACTGATATCATAAATTGAGTAAAGATTAAAAAATAAATGTATAGCAGCTTCTAACACTCTATTGGAAATTCTAAAGATAGGCTTCTTTTAAAAATTTTGTGATTGTTAAGTCGTTGATTTGCGAGTCCGAAACACCGACCAGAGAATATACCACGATCGATGCCCTATTTTAAATGAAAGCATGAGAATGGTACATAAGTATACGTGTATATGAGCACATATATTTATCGTTATCCATTGTATGGGAGAATAGAATAATAAAAAATGAGTATTTTTAATTAGCATTGAGCCACAAATTTTATAAGCAACTTTATTTATTTACGAATTATCAACCGAAAGTGATAGTTTACTTAAATCTCGTTGCTATTCCTCAATTCCATTTCTTATAATAAGACACAGTTCCATAATGGAAATGGCGGAAGGTCAACCTGGCCACATCAGAGGTTAAAAATTAACCTCTGTGGCCATATACTCGTATTAAAAATTATTGTATAGGTTTTTGCAGCTAATATATGACAAAAGCATGTATCAAACCGGATCTCCAGGAGAATATTTTCAGAAGCTTACATAATAGGTGCATTATCAGCTGTGTATTTTATACTATAAGTACATTATTTTTTAGAGCACGGGCAAGAGCCAACGCCAGAAACAATACAATTGGATAGCACAGCACTTTAGCTTTAACAGCTCTGGTTTTTTATGCATTGTTCCACGATTATGTTTCGCGGAAGAGGAGATCTATTTGAACCTAGATCTATGACTTCAAGTGGCTTTCGAACAATTGGCAGCACTCTTATCTAAAGAGGCACTTGAACTAGTTCTTGGGTGGAAATAAGAGCACTAATTTTTCAGTTACGATGTATGTAGGGTTAAGTTTCAACAAATTTATAATATGTTATTTACGGGTTTTGAATAAATATAAAAAACATACCTAAGCAATAACTATGGTTTCGATATGAAATTTGATGAAGCAGACGTTGTCTGTCAAGTAACTGAAAGTTGAAATATCATTAAATCTTTCCAGTTAAAAATTCAGCATCATCAGATGAAACAAGAGCATTTTCTAACATTAGAAACCGCATGGATTGTAGTTACTCCAAATGCATTAATGTATTTTCTAGCATTTAACCAATTAGGTTAAATGCTAGAAAGTACAGAACGTAAATAATAAGTATGAAATTATCATACTTATTATTTAGCATACACTCAAAATTCAGGATTTTAATGAATATCACTA